ACACGGGAGAGGGGAAGGAGCTGAGAGGTCAGGGTTGAACCCAAGTTTCTAGCCTTGACAACTACAAGGAAGGGAAGGAAGGAAGGAGAAGGGAAGGAAGGAAGGAAGGAAGGAAGGAAGGAAGGGAAGGCTGAAGGAAGGAAGGGGAAGGAAGGATGTAGAACGACTGGGATAGGATAGTATTTTGGGAGGGCCCTAAGCTCAAGACCTACTTCAACAAGAAAAGGTGGTGGTGGGGGTTCCCAGAAATATGAAGAGGCAGTAGGTATTTATTGTGGTGTGGGTAGAGAAAAACTAGGAAGGCAGAGACCGTAATGAAATATTCTGAGAGGGTAAAAGGACAGGATGAACATCAGGAATTGAAACCAGGCAGATTCCTGTTAGTCAACTGAAAAGACAACATAGGGACCATTGCTCCACAGGTCAAAGGCCCAAGAAGAGGTGGAGCAAAATCAAGAGTCTATCCTCTGGGAGGTTAGAAGGGTTATAAAGGCATACTTTTGAGATTGATACAAGAAATAAAATGAAAGTGCCAGGCAATGAGCAGGGCAGATAAGAAGGCAAGGTGAGCTAAAAGGATCTAGTTAATATCTGAACTATAATGTACTGTAATTTTGCATTCCTCTTTTTAAATGACAGAGTGCATGAAGGAGTGTTTTGAGTAATATCTGTCTAGCAATACTCCTGTTTTCTGAGAACTTCTTTACCTGTGCAGAGGGGATTCTTTCTCTCCCTGGACATTCAACATGAAAAGGAGTAATCCTAGCTTCTGCTTTTCTAGTTCTAGTTGCTGGTTCTGGGTTCCATGAGATAGCCCTACATCTTCTCTTGCTAAACCCCTCCCTTTTTTTTTTTTATTATATGAAATTATTGTCAAATTAGTTTCCACAACACCCAGTGCTCATCCTAAAAGATGCCCTCTTCAATGCTCCATCACCACCTTCTCCTCCTCCCACCTCATCACTCCTCCTCCTCCTCCTCACCCCCCCCATCAACCCTCGTCGTGAGCTCCCTCAGTTTTGAGTCTCTTATGCTTTGCTCTCTCCACTTAACCTCTTTTTTTTTTTTTCCTTCACCTCCCCATGGTTTCTGTTAAGTTTCTCAGGATCCACATAAGAGTGAAACATGGTATCTGTCTTTTCTGTATGGCTTATTTTACTCTAGCATCACACTCCTTCCATCCATGTTACAAAGGGCCATTATTTCATTCTTTCTCATTGTTTAGGTACCTAATGTGTATATAAACCACAATTTCTTTATCCATTCATCACATTGGACATTTGTAGCTCTTCCATAATTGCTATTGTTGAGAGTGCTACATAAATATCAGTACAAGTGACATCATGCATCAGTATTCCTGTATCTTTGTAAATTCTAGCAGTGCTACTGCTGGGTCATAGGTTAGGTCTATTTTTAATTTTTTTGAGGAACCTCCATAATTGTTTTTCCAGAGGGCTTCATCTGTTTGTATTCCTACCAACAGTGCAAGAGGGTTCCTGTTTCTCCACATCCTTTCCAGCATCTCTAGTCTCCTTGATTTGTTCATTTTGGCCACTTGACTACATGGAGGTGATATCTGAGTGTGTGGTTTTGATTTTATATTTCGATGAGGAGCATGTTGAGCATCTTTTTCAGGTGCCTAAGGTCATTCATGTCTTTAGAAGTGTCTATTCATGTTTTTTGGCCCATTTCTTCACTGATTATTTGTTTTTTTTGGGTGGGTGAGCTCTTTTATAGATTTTGGGTACTAGCCTTTGTCCTATGTCATTTGCAAATATCTTTTCCATTCTGTTGGTTGCCTTTAGTTTTGTTGATTGCTCTTTGCCCATAAACCTCTCCTTTGCTTAAGCTTTCAGCCTCATGTCTTTTGTTAACTTGAAATCAAATGTGGTAGCTCTGTGAGATAGTATATATTTCCCCAAATTTCTTGGTAGTAGTTTTTCTATGTCCCTTTACCTAATGCACTATTTGATGGGGAGGGAGGGAAAAGAAGGAGGAAAGGGGGCTGAAGAGGAAGGTAGAAGATTTGTAACATCATTTCACTCTTTTTCCAGGGGTGACAGAGGTAAGGAGAGGAGCTCAGGATTCATCTGAGGCTACCTTCAGCCTTCTAAGGCTCTATAAGAGATAAGCCAACTGGGAGGTGGTATAGCACAGAGATCAAGAGCACGCCAAAGCCGATGCCTGAGTTTAAATCCTGGGGCTACGGCCTGTTAGGATGGAGAACCTGGGACAAGCTGCTAACTCTCTGTGCTCAGCTTCTCCTCTCTGCTAGAGATAGTATAGGGTTGTTATGAGGATTCATGACATAATTACATAAAACAGTTTATGGAATAGTATGCAGTCCAAAAGTTCCAAGTTTTAAAAGAAAGGTTAGTTGTTGTTATTATTGCTGCACTACTGACAGCTTATCATATAAACACACCCAACAATTCAAGTAGAGTCTAACTTTCAGTAAGGGTTTCGATACAGTATAAGAGAATATTCATGACTAAAAACAGAAGAAAATCAGTTTGGGCCTCAGATACATTCCAGAACTACATGTGAAAAGTTCAAATGGTCTATCAGGCCTGGTTCCTGCCTAAATAGTTTCATCTAATGTTCTCTTACTGATCTGGATAACATTCTCTCTTCAAGCACTGGCCTGTCAATGAAGGCATTAGTTTGTTTCGGCTTGGGAAGCAAGCTCCCCAAGGAGTAAAATGAAAATAGAAGTTTGAAAAATGGCCTACATGAGGTTCAAACCATAAACATAGGACTCTAAAAAAATCATCCAAATTTAATTACTTGTTTTAAAATACCCAGGTATTTAATAAAGTTAGATCTAAAACACTTAAAAAACTTAAAAAAATCCTTTCAAAGTTAACATTGGGGCAAAACTCTTGGAAGAATTATATTCAATAATGGATGTATTAGCATTATTTTAAATGTTCATTTATTTTGAGAGAGAAAGAGAGGTGAACAGGAATGGGCAGAGAGGGACAGAGTATCCAAAGTGGGTTCTGCACTGACAAGAGACAGTCTGATAGCGGGGCTTGAACTCATGAACCAAGTGGTGATCATGACCCAATTCAGACGCTTAACTGATCAAATCTAGGCCACCAGGTGCCCTAAAAGTGAATTGCTATTTGTGTTATGGTTTTCAACACCTTTTTTCATTTTGTGTTAGGAAAAGATAGGGAACTTACCTAGTTGTGTTAAAATACTATAAGATATCACATGTTAACTTTGATTATTGCATGCCTAGAGCCTCGGACCCTTTATCATTAGGGGTGAGTCAAATTGTTGGAAAAGGAGAGTAAATGGAAAGAATATAAATTATTGCTGAATGAGAATGTGGTTCTGGTGAATGACAATGAATATCATCAACAAAATATGAAGTTGTTATAGAGATATTAAATAATTTCACCAATTTTATATAATTTGTAATTATGTCAGCTCTAGAGGATTATAGTAAAGTCCTTGGAACAAAGCAGCAGTGACATGCACATCTCATGGATTAATCTTTGTATGTGGATAAAGGTCCTGATAGGCCATTGATGATGCAAATAAAAACACTTTTTCTACAGTGAATTTTTCTTAATCATTGTTATCTTGGGGGAGAGTTTTTCCCCTATTTTATAAAACTGCAGAGTCATCAACTCTCCACATGAAAATTTTTTAATTTGCAGAAATAAACTAAGAGGATTTGTAGTGCCAAGTCCTACTATAATTTATTATGTTTCAAAGAATATTGTCAATGTTGCTTTCACTCTGCTGCTCGTATTCCGTGGAATCTTTAAGGAAAAGGCTCTTTGCGGGGCGGGGTTCAATAGTATCACAGCTGGGCGCATTCTTTGGGTCTTTCTCTTCTCCTCCCT